ATGTATACTTGAAAGATATTTCTTGCAATAACATAAGAATTTTTAGATGCAGTTTAGAAACTGTAACAGTTGTGATTCTCTGTTTTTGTTTTTAAAGTTTTCCTGACGTGGAAGTGCGACGAGTTGCTGTAAGTTGGGTGCAGAACATGGGAAGTGATGAACTTGTTGACTACTTGCCTCAACTTGTTCAAGCGTTGAAACATGAGACATGGGAAGCCTCCCCCTTAGCTCGGTTTTTGCTTGAACGCTCTCTCACGTCTCCTCGTGTCGCACATCATCTCTATTGGTTGTTGATGCAATCTCTGCCAGGACAGTGTCCTCAGGTATACTTTGCCAGTTCTCAATTATGAATATAATTATGAGATATTTTAAGTGGGATTTCATGTACGAGGTGAGCACAAGTGAAGCATAACATGAGGTTTTTCAACACAAAATAAGAGAAACAAACCAGCAGTTTACTTACCATTTTGAGTATTGTTCAATATATATAAAAGTTAGCAGTGTATCTTGGAAAAGAAGGGCCAAATGGACTGAAATTTATAAGAACTGAACAGATTATTTGAAGAAAAGGTTTCATCTGTGACACAAAAGTATTAAAAATTGACATAGGAGGAATATTGGGTATATTTATAGAAAATTTACATTTTGTAATAACATTGTCTTAAATATTGATCATGATTGATCTGAATTCTGCGTATTGTACTTCAAATCGTATATTTAGGGTGTTGGATGTCATGCCATACATTTTTATGAATATGAAATTATGTTAGAAGAATTACAATATTGAAAAATATTTATTCAGTAATACAGGATTTTAATCATATGTAACAAATAATAAGCATATTTTATTTGTGTGTTAATTACCAGCATTGTGGTTAGCCTAGTGTAGTTTGCTTACAACATGATATTTTTTATATATTTTTTTTTCTTTTTAAAATAATTCCACTCTTTCTGATTGTGTGATTATTTTTTTTGATTCTTTAGAATTCATCTGAAGTGAGTATTGTTGATGATGCTGGCCTTGGAGAAGCTCGTTACCATAGACGTCTGCAGTTGATGCTTCGAGCTCTTCTAGCAATTTCTGGTGAAGCCTTGCGACAAAGGTTTCTTTCTCAACAACTTCTTGTAAAGGTATAAAAGGCATATAAATATAATA